TGCCCTTGATAATAATGGGGAAGTCTGGAAGTGGGGAGAATTTAGAGGGAAAGATAATGAATTCAGTTTTGGACATATTTTAAGATATCTGCAGGACGTCTATTTCAGGATGTCTGAAAGACAATTGGAGATGTGAGATTAGAGGTCAACAGAGAAGGTTAGGGCTGGATAAGTAGATTTGAGTATCATCTGCAGAAAGATAGTGGGAGCTGATAAAATCAAGTGAAGAAGTATAAAGGGAGAAGAAAAGCGGGCCCAGGCCAGAGTCCTGTGGAACACTCATGGCTGATTAGTGGACATGACTGGGATGAAGATCCAGCAGAGGAGACCAAGAAGGAGTGATCAGTTAGGTAGGAGAAGAATCAGCAGACAGTAATTTCCCAAAAATCTAGAGAGAAGAAAGTATCAAAGAAGAGAGGGTGACCAATAATATCAAAGGCTACAGAAGGGTTAAAGAAAATGAGGACAGAGAAAAGGCCATGGATGTGGCAGTTAAGAGCTCATTAGTAACTCTAAAGAGAGCAGTTTTGGTGGAATGATGAGATTGGAAACCTGATTGTACAGAGTTAAGAAGAGAATGAGAAGAGACAGCCTCTTAAGAAGTTTAGCCACAAAAGCCAGAAAAGATATGGGATGATAGCAGGATAGATCAAGTGAAGGTTTTTGATAATGGAGAAGATACAGGCATACCTGTAGGCAGTAGGGAAGCAGTCAATAGACAAGGAGAGATTGAAAATAAAAGTGAGAGAGTGGGAATAAGAGAGAAGGCTGTTTGCTGCAGGGGATGAATGAAATACCATCATTTGGGCAAGGAGAAGGGCCTTGACAAGAAAAAGGGCCACTTTTTTGTGTGAGATGGGAGTGAAGGAGGCGATAGGGGCAGAAGGAATTAGAATGATATGAGATGAGGAAAAGGGAGCTCTAGGCAAACGGCCTCAATTTTTTTAGTAGAGTACAAGGCAGGGTTCTCAGCTGAGAGGATGGAGGGAGGGAGGGCTGTGGGAAGTTTGAGAAGGAATGAAAGTTTGGAAGAGCCATTGTGGAGAGTGGGATAATGAGTTAATTAAGAAGCTGTAGAAGGATTGCCTTGCAGCAATAAGAGCCCACTTAAGGTTATGTAACATAAATTTGTGGTGGACTCAAGTCAGAGTGGTTGTGTGATTTTCTCCATCTTTGGTTAGCAGCACTTGTTTAGGAGTGAATACAGTGAATGGTGAGAGTAATCTAAAGCTGAGGTTTGTCAGGGAAGAGTTGATGATGTGTTAAGGAGTCCAAGGACTCTGGAGAAGAGGATAGTGTAGCATTAAACTGGTTCATCAGGGGATCAGGGTGAGGAAAGAAAGAGAATGTAGATAGTACATTCTGGGAGAAAACTGAGGGGTTGAGAGATTGGAGATTATAGTGTGGCTGGAGAACAGGGTTTGATGTTGTAATGCAGAGGTCAAGATGGAAAGATTGTCAACAGGTAAGGGAATTTCAGAATTCCTGAACATGGAGGTAGTTACATTTCTGGCTGATGGCAAGATCAAGGGTTTGAATGGCTCAGGTGAGGGAGAAGGAATCGGGAAATGAGAAAATGTCATGGGAAATGAATAATAGGTTGAGGAACTGGGAGTTCTTAGGATGTTTGAATTGGGAGATATCAGAAGCCAGGCTGCAGAGTGAGAGTAGAGGCAGTGGAGGCAATGAGTATGTACTGCTTTTTTGTTGAAGTTTGGCTTGGAAAGGATGAAAAGGGTAGGTGACTATAGTTTGAAGGTAATGATAGGGCCTAGTTTTTAAGCATGGAGGAAACCTGAGCGTGTTTGAAAACACTATGGATAAAACTAGTACATAGGGAAAAGTTAAGGTTGAAGAGAAAGTGGATAATTGGGGCGGAGAGGGGCAGTCTTCTGGAGAAAATTGGAGGGGATATGGTTTAGGAGGAGTTGGTTTTGTCCAGTAGATCTTGGCCACCTCTTTATCTGAGAATGAAGAAAAGAGGAAAGTATGGGAGATGATAGAAAGGGGCTTGAAGGTGAAGAGGGAGTTTAAAACAGGCCTCATTTTTCTCAGTAAAATAAGAGGCATGGTCCTCAGCTGAGATTGAGTAAGGTTGTAGGAAGATTTCATGAGAGAAGAGAACGTTTGGAAATGTTTCAGTGGGCTTTGAAATAGGAAATTTATTAGGAAGGAAGAACAATAGTCTCTTAAGATTCCTTCCCACTTAAAATTGAGTGATCCTGAGCTGCTGTAGCAGTTCTCTAACTAGTTTCCTTGACTTTAGTTCTTATTCCCTCAAATCTGTCCTACATACCTCGAAATTAATATGGAGTCTGGTCCTTCAAACCTCTCACTGATCTGGACCCCTTCTACCTACTCAGATTTTCTTTTCCTTACACCCAGCCCTCCTTTTTAAGCCACCTCTAGTCTCACTGTTCCTGAAACATAGGACATTCATTTCCCACTCTGATCTTCTATCCGAGTTATATATAGTTCATCCCACTCCCTCCCTCACCCCCATCCTTGTATGTAACCAGGTAGTGTGGATAGAGAGCTGGACCCAGAGTCGACAAGACCTGAGTTCAGATTTTACGTTAAACACTAAATGTGTGGTCTTGGACCACTTGACCTTTGGCTTAGTTTCCTCATCTGTAAAGCAGGATAATAATACCACCTACCTCCCAGGTTTGTTTTGAAGATAAAAGGAAATAATATTTGTAAAGCACTTTGCAAACCTTAAAGTTCTATGTAAATGTTTTGTTATCATGACTAATTATACCATCAAGACTTATCTTTTCCATAACATCTCTCATCAAGATTTCTTAACTTTGAGGTTTATTAACCTCATTTTTTGATAACTGTATTTCTATATCATTACTTTCCTCTGTAATCCTATGCATTTTAAAAATTTTTCTGAGAAAGGGTCTGCAGATTTCAACAGACTGTTAAAGGAAGGGTTTATGACCCCCAAAATTGAAAAACCCCTACATGATGATCTCTTTCTCTGAACTTATACACCACGCTCATCTTGGCATATATTACATTGCTTTTTACTTAACAATTTTATTTGTATATTTTCTTTATCCCAAAAAGAGGATTTTAGCTTCTTGAAGTCAGGAATATTGTCATTCGTTTCTTTTAGGTCTCACTTAACAATTAGCACAGTGCTTTGAGCATATTAGGTACTCAGTAGATATTTGTTATTGAGTAGTTTTACTTTGAGTCTTTCTCTTTGCTTATATCTCTCCTTTAACTCTAAGTTTATATGTGTGTGTGTGTGTGTGTGAGTGTGTGTGTGTGTGTGTGTATGTGTGTATTTAATGTATATATTTTTGTAGTTAGCTTCATTTCTGTGTCTCTGACTGTCACCCTGTAAGAATGTCGGTTTCTTTATTGCTGTCCTTTGTCTTTTCCCCTCTTTCTCCATGTTTCTTATCTGCCATTGTCTTTTATTCTCTTCCTTTTCTTTTATTTCTTTTTTTTTTTTAATTCAAGGTGGCAAAGATTTATTGTTATGCTTTTCAGCGGGCATGGATTCTTAAAGGATCCTGCAACCTTAGAGAGGTACAGGTAAAGTTTATATAGGATAAAATGCAATAAAACATTATGTCAAATATGCTAACTAGGTGATTCAGGGCTGGATTAGGGAGTGGTTAAGGAGTGGTCAGTTCTCAATTGAAACTCAAGATAAGAAAAATCCCATTATTCAAGAGAATATCTGGTCCCAGACATCCTGGGCCCAGTGATAGCAAACAGGAAGAATACTGATCAGCTCTATCTGGTCCTGGAATTTGCTGACACAGGAAGGGGTGTTTTTAGTTCACTCACAGAGAAAAAGATTAATTTAGGTTTTTTGGCCCTTATTGGGGCTCAATTGATCTTAAATGATTATCAAGGGACAGTGTTTCTGAGGCTAGGGAGAAATTGGGGCCCAAGTACAAGCAGCCAAACATAAGCACCCAAGCATAAGCTCCTAAACACCCCAACATTCCCCCCTTAAACAGATGGGACCCAAAATCTTTTGTGGTTAGGGACGATGGTCTCAGCTTCTGAAACTGCTTCCTGCTGGGTTTGGGCGTAGAGCTGTCCCTGCTTCCTGGGGTCCCTCTGGTCAAGGAATCAGTTCTCTAGCCAGTGTCTGGAACTTTGCCGATGCCAGGTCCAAGGGGTGATGGGTTGTGGTCTCGAACAGATGTTGGTACCCAGTCTGAGCAGTCATCTGGAAGTGGAGGGCACTGAGCCTAGAGGGGACAAATCTTGAGTCGAAGAAGGTTTGAGACTTCAGACTGCCCCACGTTGGGTGCCATAAATGTTGTGGGCTGAGAGGTTGAGAGGTTGTGACCCCTCAAAGACCAGAGTACAGGACAGGTCGTCTGGAAGGAATTCACAGACTCGAGCATTCTTTAAGCCAAGGTGGCAAAGTTTATTGTTAACGCTTTTCAGCGGGCAAGTATTCTTAAAGGATCCTGCCTCTCTTTTATTTCCAGCTGCCTCTTTTAACTGGATTTAATGTAGAATCAAAATCTATTTCATTTATTATGCATAATTGAGTAGTTTTTATATTCCCTATTTTTATTTTGAAAAGGGTATAAATAGGACATTTTATATTTCTCTCAAAAAGTAAAAGTTGTCTTTTTACTTAGGTAATGACCTTTGATTTTTCTTTGTCTCAGAGACTCTGAGATATGTTTCTTCAGTATGGTGTAGGTGTAGTAGATGACCATTAAGTTGTGGGTTTTTTTTCCTTTTTTAAAATAAATTTATGTTAAGAAATTTTTTTTTTGCTTTCATGTAAAAATTAAATACATGAAAGTATTCTGGTTAATTGAGAGCTCTGATTAATTGGCTTTTTAGGCAGCAATATAATAATACTAATAGTGAGGATCTATTCAAAAGTTTGTGTTGGTGCTTAATTATTTTTTTTAAGCATACAGAGGAGAAATATTTCAGATACATAAATCAGATTTGAGAGTACCATAAACTGTTACATTCACTTGAATTATATTTCATTGTTACAGGTAATATTCAGGTATCTTGGATTGATGATACATCAGCATTTGTCTCTCTGAGTCAACCTGAACAAGTCCAGATTGGTAAGTATCTGTGGCTTTTGTTCTTTTTGAATCTGATAATTATATCATGTGTATACTTCACCCCCAGAACCTAAGAAAAAAATACAGTGGCTTAGAGGACTCGTTAACTATCAAAGACTTGTCTAAATATTAATTCAAGAACATTAATGACATCAGTAGAAACACTCACTAAGTGTAACATTTGGACTAGAAGCCAGCCCAAATTTCCTTTTTTCCTCTAAAATACTTAATCTTTACAACAGAGGCTTCATAATGTAACAACAGAGACTTTACATGTTTCTGTTGCACTTTTTTCTGTTTCGTTAAAAAATACAAAGTGTACCTTCCAATTCATCAGCTGCACTTTATCATATCAATATAAGCTTTCGTTTGAACATATGAAACAATAGTTAAGGGGGCCCTAAAATTGAGACTGATATATTTTTGTCTGTTAGTTTCACATTTGAAAACTTTTTAAAGTTGCAAATGTCAGGGTAATCATGCCATTAAGAATTTATGCTGCGTTCGTTTCACAGGAAGATGTACTGAAAATTATTTTATTTTCTTGCAGAAAATAAGCTTTTCAAAGATAGAGTGAGCACAACTTCTGATCTCAAGCAATGAGATTTATGGAGTTTCCCAGTTCTTGCTTTACATTCTTTGGGGTGAAAAGATAATTTCTTGAGAAAAACATATAACTTTTAGTATTTATGAAGCTACATCTTCAAGAATGTCAGATACCTTGAAGTGTAATAATTGAAAAAGTATCACTTAAAGCAGGTATTTTTAGTAATATGCCAGATTGTTTTTTTTACATTTATCCTCATTTTATTCATACTTGCCTTGGGGTGGGGAATAGATTGTTCAGTAAAAACATAAATATGTCTTACCATATACAACTTTTAACCTGCAATAATGATATATCTTAATTATGTCCGTGCAAACAAGGTCTAACATTATAATTTAAAAATAAACACAATGAAGACTTCTAGGAGCATTTTATAATAAAGTGGTTCCTAATTTTTCTTTATAGATAAATCTAGCACCTCCAAAATACAAATTCCTATACACAGTGAGCGCTTTAGTTAAAATGAACTCTTAAGTAAATTGAGTATGTGGACAGCCTCAGAACAAGCTGACATTATAATATTCAGCTAGGTAGGCAACAAACTATAGTGCTGAATGGAAAAACTTTATTTGTAGATAAATTTCAAAAAACTAAGTTAATTTTCTATAATTAAATACAGAAAATATACTGATTTACTAAAATAAGTAAGATGTGATGTATTAACACTTCACTAGAAAGAATGCATACCAGAACGCGCTTATGAACAGTGAATGATTCTTATTAAGAAGTTACTGTAATAACACTGGCTAAATAGAAGGGGCGTATTGTGAAGCACTATGAGTGGTACATGTTTTGCCACATACTTCTGTTACCTTGAGGTAGATAATACATGTGTAACAAATTCGACATTCATTTTCAGTTGCTGCTGGTATCATGTGTTTTAAGAAATGGGTACAGTATGAAAAACTTGAAAATACTCATGAATGAAAAATGTTTTAGGGAAAAAATAGATATTTTCATGCAATTATGTAGTCTCACTGTGTAAATTTCAAGGCAAGATTTTTTTTCCTGTAAAACAGATAACCATTTTACTGAATGTTTTTACTTGGCTTAGTGCATTTATTTTCTCTCCTCCTGTGTTGCATTATTTTTGCTCTATTCTTTAATTTTGTGTGCAAACAACATGCCAGGTTAAAATGAAAACTATTTCATGTATAGAAAGTAATTTTGGATTTTAAAACCCAAGAACTAATGAAATCCATACTAAAATAATACCATCTGATTCAAGTGAAAAAATTACTTATACTAGTAATAAAAAGGACAAAACACATTTCATGAATACAACAAGAACTGTCTGCTGAGTGTTTTTTAGTTCAGATGTTTCAGAATACTGCTGTATGTTTTATGGGGAATTTGGGGGGAAGATTTTATAGCAGAATGTGTTAATGTGGCCTGTTTTGATTTAAGTAGTGAACCAGCGGGCCTGTGAAACTGTGGGATGCCTATAAATTCAAGCTGCTTGTTAAAGAGGAACTCCTCACTATTATTAAGAAAACCCTCCTCACTTTCTCTTTCCCCAAACTTAATATGCCAGATTTTAATGGTCATAAAGTGCTAGCTGCTAAACTTATGTAATCTTAAGAGGATAATTACATTATATGAATATGAACATTTTTAGTCATATATTCTCTGATGAATGGCATCTGGGTCATAGTAAATACAATGATGGCCTCAAAGCCAGGAAGACCTAGGTTCAAGTCCTCTTCCTGTCACATACTAGTAATGTGTCCCCTGGGCAAAGTCACTTAAATTCTCAGTGCCCTAGGCAACTTTCTGAGATTATAACTAGCAAAGAAGGTATTAGTGTGTTACCAGTATTAGTGGAGGGAGTTTGAAAGTAATCCTTATTGATGAGATCTCAGGTATAGTCCCTATCCCTTTACCTATTTTCTGCTATACATATTCTCATTTCACCTATTATATATCCATCATATAGATTAATAATTCCATCTGCCTGTGTCCATGGTGTTGTTGAATCAGCTCAAGAATTAAATGTTAGTGCTCTAAAATGAATTCAGAGTATATGTAATATTGGAGTAAGAAAAAAACAAGGAAGGATTGATGGCGTGAGGAGGGAAAAAAGGTATTGCTATGGATTTTTTGTTACATATAAATTTTTTCCATGATTCCAGATTAATAAATAGCAAAAACTATACACTTAATAAATGGCATAGCCTTGATTTACATCAAATTCCTATAGCTTCTAATTCAGCAGCCTTTCCACTATTGTCAAGCTGCCTTATATGTTTCAGAGTTCACGATCCAAGAGTTAGAATGGTCACCAATGATATTAAAATCCAGGGTATTGTAAATCAATTTCATTGATTTATTTTGTATTTATATTGAAATTGATTTGTAATACCCTGGATTTTACTATCATATATCAATATATATGTATGTCAATATACATGTATGTTTAAATCTCCAAGTATGATGCCCAGAAGTAGGATACAGTGAAATATCACAAGCCAGGCACTGTATTCTTTGAAAAATGAAGTACTATGGCTTGGAGACTGGTAGATGTCTACAGGAAGGATATTAAACAGGTGATATTGGTAAGAGTAAACCTCAAAGTAAGAAAGGTTGCTAAGTGGTGGCAAAGTGATGGTCGGAAAGGTAGAAAACATCCTATTTGATCTTCCTAAGAACTTGTTTGGCAGCATTAAATATTATGAGAGATTATTGTTATTTATCCTTCGTTCTTGAAGAGGACCAGTGACATTAGGGTGATGTTTTGACTTGCAAGCAAATTTGATTTAAGTGAAGCACAGCTATGCAGTCATCAACCTAACTTTCTCCTTCAGAGTCTTCAGAATTCAGTGGCAGTATATAGGTTCAAGGCAACTGGCGAAGGCCCCAGATGCAGTGGGAGACCTTAGCCTTTTCCGGGTCTCATTTTGTCTGAGGCATTGCCTATTTAATAGTAAAAGGCTAGGTTAGAATTGAGGCAAAAGATGGCCAGGTGTGCCTTCACAGAAGAATTGGTCTGGGAGGGGAAGACCCTTGGAGTTGCATTATGAGAGAGAATGGTGTTGTAGAAAGAATACTGGACAGGTTCTGGACTAGGAATGAAGAAGTTTTGATACCAATTCTTTTTTTTGTTTTTTTGTTTTTTTAGGCAATTGGGGTTAAGTGACTTGCCCAGGGTCACACAGCCAGTAAGTGTCAAGTGTTTGGTCTGAGGCTAGATTTGAAGTCCTCCTGACTTCAGGGCCAGTGCTCTATCTACTATGCTACCTAGCTGCCCCATACTAATTCTTCTACTGCCACTGATTTACTGTGTAGCCTTGGGCAAGTCATTACCTCTCTGGATCTCAGTTTTGTCATCAGCAAAATGGTGGGATTAGCTATCTCTCCAAGGCCCCTTCCAATTGTAAAATTCTCTGTTTTACTCATTTTTAGATGAGAAAACTAAAATCAGAGAATTTGAGTAACACTTGCCCAAAGGCACAAAGCTGATAAATGGAGAGGCCAGAATGTAAGCCCATGTCTGACTTCAGTTTCAATATTTTTTCTATTAGAAAACTTTTCTATAGAGCAAGATTTAGTGTATCTAATCCATTTCAGAGACAATCCAGTGAGATTTATTATAAAATATCAGTGATAGGCTGTGTTTCTTCAAGACAGAGACCCTTGAGGATAACATAGGGATTTTCCAGAGTGTTCATTTAAAATGTAAGCATGATTACTTGTTTAAATGTGTTGGATATAGAAAATATTTTTTAAGGAAATATTCAATGTCAAGTTTTTATCACTCCACACATTACAGAGGGGTTTTTTAGCTGTACCCACTAAGCAAATTATCTCACTCCTAATTTAAATGAGGAAACTACAGTTTAAGATGAGACTTAGGTATCTGAATGGGTTCTGTAGATAATAGATGAATACTCTTTAGTGTTCTTTAAATTTTTTATTAGTGCTTAATTTTGATATAGCCTCATCCTCCATAAAATGTATTTGCAGAAAACAGAACCACTTCCTAAGTATACTTGCAACTGATCATGTGTCTTTAAAGTCTCTTTTGCTAAAAGGAAAAAAATTCCTTACATAAATGATTGTCTTTAGACATGTAATTTGCTAATACAAACTAAATGTCACTGTAGTCTTTTTTCTTATGTTTTGGAGGACTTTTAACATTAATATGTTCCTATTTAGCCATGTGTGGTTCAGAGTTGGAAAGTCTATTTTTTAGGATGAGATAGCAGTCGCTAGTGTTTTTGGTCTTTTGCCCTAACTTTAGAAATTGTTTGAATATTTCATGAAAGGATTGTCAGAATTTGGATTTTGTTAGTGATAATCCTTATGATAAGAGAAGGACCTATGTTGTCCTTAATGTGCTGCAAATGTTAATTTAAATTACTTAGTCACTGAAGTAGAAACATTGGCAGTTGTC